TACCTTCAGACCCTATTGTTTGGTTAGAACTATTATTTTTTTAGGCCTAGGTAAAATAATTATATTTCAAAAATATTTTACATAAGACTATGTATACATGTACAGGGTAATGTTCTGAATCTAACAGTGCCTACATATATAAATCAAAAATGTCTATCAAATGTGTTAGGAAAGGCAGGAAAATTCAGAATAGGTAGGGAGGCAGGAAACAGAACTATATATTCGTTTGGCCTAATCTGTAATGTCCATAAAAATGTCCTGTTTCATCAGATAGATCATACATGCATGATGACATGTACCACTTTTCAATATACATTCTATATATCTGGTATTAAAAGCATGTTGGTGGAAATTAATGCAAAATGGTGATGTTTTGAAAGAATTTCTTTTATCTTTTTTTAAATCCTGAATTTCAAGGGAGAATTAGCAGATACAACATGTACAATATTAAGGTTTAAGCATAATAACTGTGGATAGAAAATGACAATAATGAACATGATGAAACTTGATTTCATTTTGTTTTTTGCACCTGAATATAGGATCAATCCTTTTTGTTTATTGGATATTTGACCTATGGACAGTAATTTTTGTATTTAACGAAAGTCACAACATATTTTATGAAATCTCAGCTTTATATGGAAAGTATTAATCATGTAAATTTGTAAAAAAAAAAAAGCTGAGCACTGTTCAATGACAAAATCCTCATGCCTTTCTACATAAATTTGCAAATAAAAAAGGTGGGATTCTGGAAAGTATTTGATAACCATAACTTTCACCAAAAAGCCTGTGATTGGTCTTTCAATTACTTCAGTTTATGTATGTCATATGAATGAAACAAATCACAGTTAACAACTATTTCAAAAAATATCATCATCATTAATGCTACTAAGCTGCAGCACTGTACTGCTCTTATAATCATCATGATCATTGGGATATTTTATGTGCATGGGTTTTGCTCATTGTTGAAAGCCGTACAGTGACCTATTGTTGTTAACTTCTGTGTCATTTAGTCTCTGGTGGAGATTGTCTCATGGGCAATCATACCACATCTTCTTACACTAAAGTTCTTATTTTTATAATATATGTATGGTTAGATGTTTGTTTGAGGGTTTTGTCATATGTATCCCACATAGTTTGCAGAACACTAGCTCTTTGGTACTTAGCTGTGGAATCATAGCTGTTATGGTGAATATATGGTCCTCAAAATACAAATAAAATTATCACATATGAGCTTGGTTGGGGAAGATAATCATCAATGGAAACTAAGTGATAAGAATATAAACTTTGTATTTCAAGATATTTGCAGTCATGGCCATATGGACTTGAATTGACTACAGGTCAGACTGTTAGCCTGTTGATTGTCTACGTTCATTATAAAAGAATAGTTTAAAAACACATGAAAAATATACCCCTAACTTCCAAGTTTTGGGAAGAAGGGGTTTACGTTTTATTTTGCATTAAAAAAAAACCATAGTTATACCCCTACTATCCAAGTCTGGGATTGTGGGGTACATACGTTTTATTTTAAAATGCATGTACAGTGTTCCCGCCTGCCCTAAATAGAAGGGCGGCCCGCCCTTGGTGCCCTTACCACCGCCCTTCTGCCCTCTAAAGTAAAAGAATGCACCCCTCTGCCTTTTCAAAAAGATAAAATTTTCAATTTTCATGCCTACCGGCATTTCCGGTAAAATTGTTACCTGATTATGTAACACTAATTAACTGACAATGGGATTAACTTAAATACCTAGTGCTTTGGCAGTTTTATCACCTTTGTTAATGATTGTTTACTGCTAATTAGTGGATTTAAGATAATTGAACAAATACTAGATATTTAATACAGAATGAAATGTCCACATGTTATCCATTTGTAATGTTTATGTACAGCATGTACACCTGAAAAAATTTATCTCAGTAGGCATAACATAAAAAATAAAATCTTAATCAATTTTAAAGGCATATATAGTTTTGACTTAATTGGTAAAAAATGTTTTGTTTCATAACCATGAGTATGAAATTTAAAGAGGAATCAAAGAAATTTGTACTTTGAACATAACAAGATTCACTTCCTGTTTTTAATACTTCTTGTATTTTATAATCCTCCTGACATAGGAGCACTCAACAAGTTATTTTTAACAATGATGGAGAAAAAAGTAACTGTTTATACCTTTTGCAATATATAATTGCATCAATATAAAATATGATTATCTCCTGTCTCACCTGTTATATTTATAAAACTCCTTACTGAGGAGCACTTTGGTGTGCACTTAAAAATAATTTTTTGTAACAATTCAAATGATAATAAATAACTCTCAATAACATATATACTATATGTTTGAACAAGTAATTTAAATGTAGATGATTTAATTACATTCAACATTCAATTTTGCATGTATAACTCCATCTTTCAAAACTACTTGTTTATTTTGGTATAAGTTATAAAACATTGAAATTTCTGATGATTATTTTCCATACCAAATGTACAAGTTTGTTTAGATTAACATCAAAATGTTATGCTTTGCTTCATGGTTTGATAATTTGATGGAAAAAAATTCTTACTGGAACCAACATCAAGAAAACATTAATTTCTGAATATTGTTTAAATACAACTAATGTTCTCCAGCTGAGCCTAGCAATATTCAAGGTAATTTAATACACTGTCCAACATTGCCCTTGAAATCTGGGTTATAACGATAAAGTGCCCTTTCAGACAACTAGCACCCTTCTGCCCTGAGATTCAAGCTGGAACACTGATGTAGATTATTAACGGGCTACATACATGTACATGTAGATCTGACCTGTAATCATGGCACAAACATTCAGGTACAACATGTACAAAAATGTGACAACATTTTTCCCAAAGAAACAATCTGAATAAAAGTTAATACATGTACAAATGTAGAATCCATTTTTGAAGGCAATTATCTTTGTATTCAGTTCTAACATGTCTAATATGAACTATATAAAAATAAGGAGATGTGGTATGCATGCCAATGAGATAACTATCCATCAAAGTTCAAATGAAGTGAATGTAAGCAATTATAGGCAACCGTACGGCCTTCAACAATGAGAAAAACCCATACCCTATAGTCGGCTATAAAAGGCCCTGACATGAAAAATATGAAACATGATCTAATTAAATTATTAAGGAAACAAACGGCATAATTTGTAACAAGTTCATACAAGGGAAAATTTTGTCATTTATATGAATGTTTGGGCCATGAAAGCTATTATAATGAAATACAAAATTATATTTTTAATTACTGAAGTGATAACCGATTTTGGGTACCCATAAATGGGGATAGTACCCATTAAAATAGTCCTATGTTATATATGCCTTCACATTATCTTTTCATTATCAAATGTTTTTATACTGATACATGCTGATATTTTCATTTTTTTGTTTAAAATAAAAAATAGAAAATAAAAGCTAACAAACATGACAAATAGATAAAAAGAGTAAAAATTCGTAAGGGTTCCGCGGAACCCAGTGTCTCGCCTACTTTTGGTGTTAATCGCAGGCTCAACAAAATTGAGGAAAAAAATTAATAAAAATATTCCTCTCTATACTATCTTTTGATTGTAAGTAGCTTCTGTCCAAGTTTGGTAAAAATCCAGGATAATTTATGAATCTAATAAATGTTTTAAAAACTTAAACTGCAGAATGTATGTAATGTTGACTGGAAGAAAAACTAAGTCCATTTATAAGTAAAATATGGAAAAAATGGAACAAAATTTTATCAGAATTTCCTTCTAGATACTATCTTATGATCATAAACAAGCTTCTTTCCAAGTTTGGTAGAAATCCAGGATAGTTTAAGAAAGTTATTAAAATTTCAAAAACTTTAACCACAGAGTGAATGTAATGTTTCCTGGCAGAAAAACTAAGTCCACTTATAAGTAAAATACGGAAAAAATAGAATTTTTTTTTAACAAAATTTACTTCTGGATACTATCTTATGATCATAAACAAGCTTCTTTCCAAGTTTGGTAGAAATCCAGGATAGTTTAAGAAAGTTATTAAAATTTCAAAAACTTTAACCACAGAGTGAATGTAATGTTTCCTGGCAGAAAAACTAAGTCCACTTATAAGTAAAATACGGAAAAAGGAATTTTTTTTTTACAAAATTTACTTTTGAATATAATCTTATGATCATAAACAAGCTTCTGTCCAAGTTTGGTAGAAATCCAGGATAGTTTAAGAAAGTTATTAAAATTTCAAAAACTTTAACCACAGAGTGAATGTAATGTTTCCTGGCAGAAAAACTAAGTCCACTTATAAGTAAAATACGGAAAAAATGAAATTTTTTTTTTACAAAATTTACTTTTGAATATAATCTTATGATCATAAACAAGCTTCTGTCCAAGTTTGGTAGAAATCCAGGATAGTTTAAGAAAGTTATTAAAATTTCAAAAACTTTAACCACAGAGTCGCCGACGGAATGTAGGATCGCTATGTCTCGCTTTTCCAAAAAGGAAAGAAACAGAAAGAGAAAATAATGCCCCCTAGGTCATATATAATATTAATATAGGACTACTATTTATGAGGATCTTCCCCTATCTATTATAATTAAAAATAACAATCTTGTGCCGCTATGCAGTAGTTTTGATTTCACACAGAACAATTGAGTATCTTATGGACAACCAGAGCTTTAGTACAGAGGAAATGGTTTATTGTCAGAAACATGTATTTGGGCCACAGTGCGATCTGTCTCCCTCTGGGGCATGATATAAATCTTAAAAATTGACATTTCAATAATTTGTTTGGAAAGTTACTGAGATCCGTATTAATCGTGGAATACTTTCTGTAACTTTTGATTTCTTGATCGACTAAGACTTTCATTAAAATGTGTGGGAGATAAATAGGTCGAGATCTCTCGCCGATATGAAAGGTTTCACCACCAAGGACCACGTTGAGATCGTTTTAGTTTATAAGCTGGCATGTGCTCTCAACGAATAATTTGCAAGTTACGTATTCATTTAAAACTGAAAGTTTTACTTACTATCTGCTTAACTCAATCAAATTCAAGTTTTAAAAAGCATACTTGTCAAAGTTCTCACTGATTGCCTCCATGTTCGTGACGTCATCAATCATTGCACTCTACTTTACTAGTAATACACATGTTTTTCAACAGGTGTCGCGACCGAATACACATCTTTTTTACAGGTAAATTGGCGGGAATGTATGTTCTGTTTAAAATCACCGACCAGTCATCTTTTACGTTTTTAATAGTTAATCATGATTAAAAAGTTATTTGTTTTAAAATGGATATTTCGTGAAAAATTGAAAAAAAATATTCTTTAAACTTCTTGATTTTTGTGGTAATTTTCCTCTATTTGGTGTTTGGGTACAGTACTGAGTCTAGGTACAGTAATTATGTTCGGAATTCGTACTATGCATGCTTTTTAAATGGAAACTGTGACGTCATATTACATTCTTAATAGTACGAAAACCCATAATACGAGGATGCAACGTTTATAAATACAGGATTTCATATATTTTTTTCATAATTTCAGTTATCTTTAATTTTATAGATCATTTTCCCCTATTCTCTTTTCTTTATTTTCTTGGCCCATTTTTCTGCATTCCGTGTATAAATTTTGCCCATTTTTCTGTACCAGTACGGCGGCCCATTATTCTGTATTCTGTAAACCCCATCCAGACTCTGATATACCCACGGGGGGGTTCGATATTTTTTTAGTAGGGGTTTGCCATTTTTGCCTCAAACACGTACACATTTTTATATAACATTCACTGAAATTCAGTACCTATAGTTATATAAATATCTAAGAAAGAATGACCCATTCTTATATAAAATATTTAAAATATGACCCATGCTTATATAAGCACTAAATCTATATCATCAATCATAATTCATAAATATACAGCTACCCTAAAAAAGCTTTTATATATTATGAATTGACATCCGGGGTTCATTTGGGAACTTATTTGAAAGATGAACTTTCAAATGAATTGATTTAATTTAGTATAATAATTGACCATTATTAATGTAAGATTCTCAATAGCATATTTATATATGCTATTATGTAGTCGTAGATCATACCCCAAATCAATATACAGTCATCAAACGTAAATGCATTTTGATATAGGATGTCATTAAAAAGGAGGGTCATTTTTATATAAAATCTCGCAAAATTATGACCCATATTTTTGGCACATCCCCGTATAACCCATAATAGGAAATAACCCCCCCTCGTGGATATACTAAGGACCTTCATTTTTACGTTAGCTATAAATCATTGTCCATACTTTTCAAATATATAAAAAAAGACATTGTTATATGGATAGTAAAATAATGGATTTTATCAGAGTGTATAAATTCACACAAAACAAAGATTTGGTTTGCAAGTTTGGCTGTACCTGTAAAAAAACTTATTTAAGACGGAATAGCACATTCTTAATTTTACGGTGATGTTGTTTACCGAGGCCGGAAATTTATATACGATCCGGGTAAACTTATCAATCTTATCCTTTAAATAAACTTATTCTAAAAGGTTACCAATTCAACACTGTTTTAGATCTTTGAATATTGCTTTTATTGGTATAAATATTGATTTTGTTATCAGTAAATTAAAATCATACTAAACAGTTTTGTTATGTACACATATGCACTTTAACGATAGTACAGTCTGTCGATACCTTTATTTTGGCATTTCACAAGGTCATGTTTTTCTCTGACTGTTAATGACGTCTTTACACTAAATCCATTGGATGTTGGATGTGTACTGATTGGTATTTAGTCTTAGGTACATATTTTTTGTTATAAGTCGTTATTGGCTTTGAACAAGTTGTCAGTAACTGCGAGTACTCTCAGATCTGTACTTCGTGTCCTTTTTGTTGTTAGGGATGAGGGATGGATAAATACCATGCCACGTCCGGTCTGTGTTTATGTTTGATGTTTTTCTTCTTTGTATTGATCTGATGAGTTAAGCCTTTTTCAACTGATTTTTATAGTTTGTTCTTATGTTGTGCTATTATACTTGTTCTTGTACTATTGTTCTTGTCACAGTTTATGACCAAACTCAGTAAAGACCCGTCTAAATTGCATTTAATAGATATCTTGGCATTGCATAAGATCATGTTTTCACTGACTGTTACTGACGCCTTTTCACTAGATCCATTGGATGTTGGATGTGTACTGATTAATATTTAATATTAAATGCATGATTGTTTTATTAGTTGTTTTTGTATTTGAACTAGCTGTACTCTCAGATCTGTACTTATTGTGTTCTGGGGATGTATAAATACCCTACCACGTCCGGTATAAGTTCTTGTTAGAGGTTTTTCTGCTGTGTATCAATCTGATGAGTTAAGTCCTTTTCAACTGATTTTTATAGTTTGTTCTTATGTTGTTCTGTTACACCACTGTCCCAGGTTAGGGGGAGGGTTGAGCGCTCACAAGCATGTTTAACCCCGCCACATTCTTTATGTAAAATTGAGAATGGAAATGGGGAATATGTCAAAGAGACAACAACCCGACATAAGAGCAGATAACAACCGAAGGCCACCAATGGGTCTTCAACGCAGCGAGAAAATCCCGCATCCGGAGGTAGTCCTCAGCTGGCCCCTAAATAAAATTGTGTACTGGTTCAGTGAAAATGGACGTCACACTAAACTCCAAAACATATAAAGGAACTGAAATAAAAAAAAACCATACAAGACTAACAAAGGCCAGAGGCTCCTGACTTGGGACAGGCGCAAAAATGCGACGGGATTAAACATGTTTTGTAAGATCTCAACCCTCCCCCTATACCTCTAGCCAATGTAGAATAAAGAAACATATAGCAATACGCACAGTAAAACTCAGTTTAAAAGAAGTCCGAGTCTGATGTCAGAATAGGTAACAAAAGAAACTAAGCAAAATGACAATGATACATAAATTAACAAAGGACTACTCGCAGTTACTGACATGCCAGCTCCAGACCTCAATTAAATTAACTGATTGAAAGATTATGTCTTCATCATATGAAAATCAGGTACAGTCCCTCCCGTTAGGGGTTTAGTATCATACCATCATAAAATTTATGAGAAGAACATAACACGTATCATGCCAACAACTGGTTTTAGAATAAATGCATGTGTTTATTTCCGATGCAAAGACCCCATGAGTGAATCAATATTAATACCAAAATATGCAATCCTTAATGACTTGACAACAGTATCGTAACTATATCCTTTCCGAATAAGTCTGTTTAAAGGTTTGGTTATCTTTTGAGGTGAATGCCGACATTTTTGTGCTTTGTATAGAATATTACCATAAAATATTGGATGTGAATTACCTGAACGTATAAGATGTCTGCATGTTGATTTGTATCTACGAATGATGTCCTTGTACCGATGATAAATTTTAGTAAATGTTTTGACTAGTTTGTGATATCGAAAACCCTGGTGTAATAATTTGTCAGTAAACAGAAATTTCTTTCGGTGAAATCAAATACGTTGTTACATACACGAGCGAATCGAACAAGTTGAGATATATAAACACCATAAGATGGTGACAAGGGAACGTCACCATCTAAAAATGGATAATTAACAATAGGAAATGAAAAATCATCTCTTTTATCATAAATGTTGGTATTAAGCTTCCCGTTGAAGATATAGATATCAAGATCCAGGAAAGGGCAGTGTTCATTGTTAGTATTAGCTTTATTTAAAGTCAGTTCGGCAGGATAAATCTCTTTAGTGTACATACTGAAGTCGTCATTATTGAGAGCCAATATATCATCTATTCATAAAATATCTAAAAGTGTTATTAAATTTTTGAATCTGTCCCAAGTCAGGAGCCTGTAGTTCAGTGGTTGTCTGTCATATTTGTTTTTCGTTAATTTTTTTGTTATAAATTAGGCCGTTAGTTTTCTCAGTTGAATTGTTTCATATTTTTCATGTCGGGTCCTTTTATAGCCGACTATAAAGTATGGGTTTTTCTCATTGTTGAAGGCCGTACGGTTGCCTATAATTTCTAACATATACTTTATTTCAACTTTGGTGGATAGTTGCCTCATGGGCAAGCATACCTCATCACCTTATTTTTATTTTGTATGTGGTATAAAGATAGAAAATTGAATATTCAGTGCAATTAAACATTGAAAAAAATATCCAAACCCTGTATATACCCAAGCGCCTGCACGTGTATACCATATGTATGTATGGTATAATTTTCACAATATTATACATGATAGTTTTGTTATATCTGGACTTCGAGAAAAAAACAGAGAAAGAAGGAAGCAATCCTGTGGGAGTTTTCCGCGATCGAACTTTTAGGCATAGCAACAACAAAGGTGATGCGGGGCTTCTAAGCTAATCTGACCGCTTTGCACCAGCTGATGTAAATGAATGACTAGGGTAGGAATGGAACACACGTACGCAAACTCCGTTCACCTATATACAAAAATGAACAAATGTCTGCTCCCAGAACTTCGCCATGTGAGGTTAAGGCTGGGGGTTTCAACAAAGCTATGGTATAATTAACGAAACACCGAAAAACTATCCAAGAGATATGAAATATCTATAACTTTTTTCGGTTATTGAGATTTATACTCCGGTTGCATTTCCATATGCTCCATTGTACCGCTATAGATTAAATATAACTTGTGCACTCCATCATTCTCTCTATTCTTTAATTTTACCCCGTCATTCTCTATTCTGTAAATCCCATAATAGTCAAAAGTTAAGTACAAAGGTATTGATTTAAACAATGTGTAGATCCTACTGCTATACCTGTGTTATGATAGTTGTCTCAGGCGGCGATGTCACTTTTTTTTTTTTTTTTATCAAAGTTGAGACTTCAATGCAATTATTGTATCGATCCTACATATAATATTTTTCGCTCCATTTAAGGAGTATCTGACTGATGATAAGAATATATGAGATAAAGAAGATAAAGAATTTTTGACAATAATTTGTCAATTAAGAGAGGTTTTGATTGAAAAAAAAAAAAATATTAAGTTAGATTATCTTTGTATAGAGTTATAGACATATGTGATCATATATGCATTTACATTATTTACATCTAATAAATAGAGATGTGGTGTCCAGTAAAGGACCCAGAGTAACAAACAATGGGTTATATTATATATTTTTATTATTACAAATTACTTATTTCAT